AATATACTGCGGTTCAGAGTACCCTTCGAAAGCTTTGACTTTGTGATTTGAAAATGCCTTAAGGCAAATAACAGCAGATAAGACTTAAGAGAAAGTTTTGGTGTTTGTAAATGAAGCTCCCCTAAGGTATTATTGCTAATAGAGTTCAATATAGTTTTACATGATTACTTTCATGATTGAAGTGTCCCAAAGCAAGCGCAAAATTCAATAATGAAACTGACAAACAATGATGGAGGGAAAGATTTCTTTTATCCTAGATGTTTGTAAATGTCAGTAACTTGTTAATTGGAAAATCAGAAGCATCTTACTGAGAGAGATGCTACAAAACCAGTTCTAAATTAAACATTCACATTTTGTGGAGTTGAATTGCATTTTCCTCATTTATCCAAATTAAGTGTAAAAGCTGAATCTTTGTTCAGGCAAGATTTAGGGAAAAAGTAGAGAAGCTGATGAAGTAGACATAACCCAAGGAGAGATAGACAAGCAAGGAATTCGTGAGGAAATTGTATGCCTGAATAACTTGTCTCAGAAACAAATCAAGATATTTTGATAATGTGTAACTATTAAATCTAGGTACCCAAGTCTTAATTTTTATTTTGCCACTGACAAATTAAGTTATAACACACCATTTAGTACAAATGAATTTCTCCCAACTATGAACTTACCAAATGGTAGCCCATAGCTTAAAATTAAAAAGATAGATAAATAGATAGATAGATAGATAGATAGATAGATAGATAGATAGATAGATAGATAGATAAGTGTCAGCATCTTCATGATGTTAGGAGGTGGAGCTGCAGGTTGGGGCAGTGTGAAACTCCATCCACAATGGTGAGATGCGAGTTTCCTGTTCTGCAGGGGCTGTTTGTCATGCAATCCTCTGTGTTGAGGCACTGTGGCCTCAACACAGAGGGAAGAATGTCTTTGGTATCAGGCAGACCTGAGGAAGAATCCCCTCTGATTCTTATTAGCTATTCAGCCTTGGACAGATTTTTAACTTCTCTAAGATTCAGTTTTCTCATCTGTCGTCATTGGAATAATATTTGTGGCCCTGACATTAAATCCCTGCTCACAATATTACAATATACTATGGAAAGTGCTATCAAAGAAATTTGCTGCTGCAGATCTCCACAGCTCGATGTCTGTCACTCAGCCTCCTCTTCTACTGGGGAGAATAGAACCAGCATCTCTTAAACAATGAGGGTTCAAGTCCTGGTGTTTTACTCAATACTGTTTTATTCGCTTTTCATAGGAAACCTATGAGATTGATACTATTTCCATTTTACAAGCTAGGAAATTGAGGCTCAGGAAGAATAAGTGACTTAGCCAAAGTTACACATGAACCATGGCATTCCATTGAAATCCTAGTGAGGTAAAAGTGGGTTTTACATTTCCCATACAAAAATTATTTCTGTCCTAACATGCTAGTAAGGTTTTGTTTGTGTAATCAGTACCTCTAACTGCAAAACCAGCATCTCTGAAGTATGGCTTTAAATAACAAAACCACAGACTCTCTGGATTCTGACAGCCATGACAAATCCTGCTTTAATCATGCATTAAAAACACATGTCATCTGTTTGATAAGCAGTCATCTGCTCTTGCTTGACCTAGCAATGAATTAATAAAGCAAAACATGTGACAATTCCAGACATGTGTGAAAAATGTTATTCCCAAGGCATCCAAATGTGATTTCTGCCCTCTTCCCCCATCTGGGCAAAAAAGTATTGGTTCCAAAATAGCATGTAATGACACCACCAACCCACACTTACAATTCCAAATATGAGAATTCTCTAAAGAAAAAAAATATATGAGTTTAGAGATAGCACCTGAAGTGATCTAGGACTAGGAGAGGTGAACATTTTGAAAAGAATGGCTAGTAAATGTGTCATTGCCTTGTTTTAAAAAGCTCCCTGTGAAAGTCTTGTCTAGTAGAGTCTGGGCCGTCCACCAAATGGCTTAGTTGCATCAACCACATCTGAGTCTGAGGCTCAATTGCAGTCCCTCCTGCTCTAGGGCCTGGGTGTTGTCGAGACGGTGTGGAGAGCCAAGGGCCAGGAGCAACAGGCTTGATCTCCTCGCCCCCACAGAAGCCATCCCACCCTTGTCTTCACTGCACTGCTGCTATTGCCAGATGCAAGATCTATTCCCCATCCCTGGCTGCAGGAACACCAATGAAATGTTGAAATATTGTAAGCAGCAGGCTATGAATGTGCTGTCTAGAATACTAAAGGAGAAAAGAGTGCCCCAGTGTTTATTCATTTTAAGACGATAAACCACTTGTGGGAACCAATTTATAAATGCTCTATCAGTAGAGAATGGCTGGCACAGAGTGACAGTCAGAGAAATCCAGCCAGATTTCATCTCCTAAAGCTTGGAGCTTCTTGGCTAAAAGGCATTTTTTTCAAGGGACTTATTTATGTGCTGGGGCGGGGGGGGCAAAAAACTTAAATCTTACATTATAAATGAAACCAGGAATTCATTACAAAGAAATGAGATCTAAAAATTGGGTGCCCGAAGTCCTTATATCGATGATATTTTGTAACACAGAATACATCCAATAGTGATAACTATGTGAAAGTATACCTCTTTTTATACACACACACACACACACACACACAAAGAATTATAAAAAAAAGTATGTGAATCAAATTTTGGTAAACAGCATATCATGGTGGTTAAGAATAGATTCTATGCAACTTCAAGTTTCATGGAGTCCTTGTGAGAAGGACTATGATTTTGCATGTAAAGGATTAAACTCGTGCAGGCATATAACAAGTGTTCAATAAATATTAGCTATAATTATTTACAGTATTAGTAGTATTATTGACATTAAAATCTTTTGGTTGACTGAGGTATGCTTAAACTACTTATTAAACACAAACTCAGAAGTAAGAAAAGTTCTGTAAAAAATTATTTAGATTACTTATTGAAGAAGCCAGTGACATTGATATATAATGAAAGAAACATATATTTTTAGTTATATGATTATAATCCAACCGCTCACTTTTCCTTCCATTTGCTGATAACTTCTGACTTGGTCCATTTTCTCCATTTCCACAAAGTCCCATCTCTTTGTTTCACTGTTTTAATGAAAATAAATGCCTGGAAAAATCTTTTTTGATTGTCCTTTGTCATCATATTGGACACACCCTTTGGATCATTGTTTCTGCAGCACTGTAAACTTCAGACATGAGGTAGGAGTTGAGAGTCACACAGAGACAACCACCTGCAGCCCTGTTTTTCAGTCAGGTCAATGACCTTGGTGACAAGGATAGGGAGGGCTCCTAACTCCAAAATGTTGCTCAAGGTTATGAATATACACTATATATGTCTCTCTTTTTATTATTCCAGAATGCTAGATATGGAGACAAATGTTCAGCTTGTTTATTGGAAACTGAATTTAAATAGCGGTAGTAATGCTTCTTTATTTCAATTTCATTTAGAAATTTGTCAGCAATAATGACTATCTAACCATTTATTTGTATTAAGCAAGTCACCTACAGATGACATTTGTTTTGGTTTATGCTGGTCAATAGAGAAACAAATCAAAAAAAGGAAAAACCATACCAAGCCACTAAACTAGGCTTTAAACTTACATTGTTATAAAATTTGATTGTGCCATTAATTATCACTGATCCTCAGAGCAACAAGTGGGAGTCTTAAAGGCTTTTTTCCCAATAATCAAACCAAGGCATGCATGTTCCACCCCACAGATACCTGTGGATCACTCGTTTTTTTTTTTTTAATGACATCTGGCACACTGACTCCATATTTAGACCTCCTAAAATAAAATCATCTTGTTGTATATTACTTTCTCTTGTTTTTGCATCAACTTTGACAACATTCAAGGAACTATCATAGTGGGGATTTCTAAGTATAGAAACCTTTGCAGTAATATCATGGAAAAGAAATACTCTTGGAAAACCCTAATTTAACAAAAATTCCATTATTTTATCTGCAATTTACATAAGAAATGGGGAGGGGAAACACGTCCCAGATTAACTGGGGATGTAGCTTGGTGGTAGAGTGCTTGCCTACCATGTTTGAGGCCCTGAGTAGACACACAAACACACACACACACACACACACACACACACACACACACACACAGAGTCCCAGACAAGGAGGGGGAAAAATTATTTAAATAATCTTAAACATTTATTTAGTTATATATTATATCTCTTGTTTGACCACAGTCATCTTTCCAACAAAATTCAATCTTTTGAATCCAACTTTAAATGATCTCCATGAAGACATTTTTAATATTTTTGTTTTAAATATTTCAAGAAAATTGATGTCCTACTTAAAATTTTTTTTCCAAAATTTATTTCAGGTTAAACTGTGATCAATGTATAAGAAAGTAAACTCTTACTATCATATACTTTGGTCAAAGAAATTGAGGAAAACTTAATTTATTCAAATGTCTTACTTGTATCTATAATTCCTACTACATAGCTTTACTTCTTACTACATAAAATCAAATACTGATTCTATGGTCCTTCAAGAATGCTTAGATATGGTCAAGCCTGATAATACCCATATAAACTACATACTTCTCTGCTAATGTTTGGTGTAGTCTTTAAACATAAATATAAAATGTTATTTTAAATAGCCCATCCTAGATATCCTGAGGTTATTCTTAGTTGTCATCTGTCATTCTAATGCTAAGAATTGTTGACTCTATGAGTATTTAACAGTGTGATATACTGAGGATGTCAACTGTCATAATCTAACAGATAAAATAAAGGTTAAAGCTTATATCCCTCCCTACATACAGAGAAAGTGGAGGCTGTACTGAATTTATATTTTAAGGTGTTAAACTAGGATATGATGTGGTAATGAAATGGGCCTCCTGGGTAGAGTCCAGTCCTCTAGAATTGTTGATTCTTTGATGATGAGGCAGTTCACTACTACCATGACTCTGTTGCAACTGTCCTTGCTGGAAACATTAAGAAGCAGAGGAGTTATCATTTGTGATTCAGACACATTAGCAATAGGAATGCCAGAGGCAGGAAATGTGCAATTTCATGCTCATTACTTTCAAAGAGGATTTACAAATTAACCTGGCTAGAGATATTAGTCTTCCAAAGGCCTGCAGACATTGCCAAGCAGCGTGGTTTCCATGGACCACTTTCACAAGGTTGACCAGATGTTCTGGGCCACTGCAGTTCTTTGTCTCTGTGTGCAGATCAGAGGTCAGGTTCTGTGCTGGAGATCTTCCTGGTTCCAAGATAACTGTGCAGATTCAAGGAAGTGATTCTGCATCTACAGGGAAAGAATTTAAGGAGATAATGCCAAAGAAGATTCTTACCTGCTGTTGCTGTCATAAGACAGTATATAACTTTTCATTTTTTATTGTTCTTTACTACCTAGGAAGTAGGAACTCAATACTACTTCCTCTCTCTATCCTAAAGTGTAAATTGATAAGAGATTATTATTATAATTAATCATCTTCCCTAGAGAGTCTGACCTTAGATATATCCACCAAATTGTTGAGAGGTTTAAAATTGATCAAGAGATGGTACAATTTAGTCCAAACCATAACATTAAAAAGTTTTATTTCTATTTGAGGAAATCATTCCATATGCAACTTGATATTTGCAGTCTGAGGCCTGCAGATTCTTTTGGAGTTTACTGATACTACTGGCATTCTGCTGGATCCTTTGTGGGTTGCCACTGACATAACCAGATGAGACATGAGGACAGGTGTAACCTCACTATTTGTACAATTGCTTGCTGTTGGTAATGTTTATTGGAGCAGGGTTTTCCAAACATTACTGTGCATATGAATCACCTGGAGATTCACATTCTGATTCCATAGGTCAGTGGGGCCTGAGGTTCACATTGATGACAAGCTACCAGGTAAGATTGGCTATGGACCATATTTACAGAAGCAAAGATTTAAATAATAATGGGAGAAAATGGTTTTATAAGACAGGGAATCAGAAACAATGTTGGTGGTATAGCCGGCATTCTTTTTGGCTGTAATATTTAATTCTTGAAGTGGCTATGCAATTATGATTAGCATAATTTAGAGGATATCCTATCATTGTGAAGAAACCATTATTTGTATCTTTGGGTTTTTTAAATTTTTTTGTATTTTATGAGTTTTAATATGAGAGACATAACCTTCAAAAGTAAAAACTCTTTAAGGTCCTTGGTGATTTTTAATTTTTTTCTTTCCACATTTTTATTAGTGCATTATAGTTATACATAATGATGGAATTTGTTGTTGCGTATCCATACATGCACATACTACAACAATATAATTTGGCCAATATCCCTTCCTTCCCTTCCTCCTCCCTTGCCTCTTCCCACTTCATGGTCCCTTTCCTGAATTGATCCCCCTTTGATTTTCATGAAATCACCTCTGCCTCCCCCCCCACACACACACACTTAGACACACCTTTCTTTTCTTTTTTCCTCTCTAGCTTCCATATTTGAGAGAAAACATAAGAAACCCTTGACCTTCTTAGTTTGGTTTATTTTGCTACTACACAGCTTTAGTTCTTACTACATAAAATCAAATACTGATTCTATGATCCTTCAAGAATGCTCAGCTATGGTCAAGCCTGATAATATAAGCTACATATTTTTCCCCTAAAGTTTGGTGTATTCTTTAAATACACTTTAAATAGTAATGGTCTCAAGTTCCATCCTGGCATCTTTGTCTTTAAAATATATTTGTGCTCTATTTGGATGATTTTTTTTTTAATGTCCAAAAGCAGAAGACCTGGTCCCTTTAAGAATATAAAGCACATCTGTGTCTGAATTATAAAACTGTAAGGAAACCTGCAGAGTCAGGATAGACATTAGAGCCATGCAGATGCAAAACAAATCACAGAAGAGGGGAGGGAAAGTAGATGGAGGGACAGAGGGAAAACGCTTATCTTAATGGGAGAGGGATCCTCATGGAGCAGCACCAGGTCTCTGTCTCTGTCATTAAACTCAGATAAGTTGCATTCCCTTCTGGTTCAAACCCAGCTGTGTGGACTACTTTACCAGGTTAGGAAAGGAGATGAAATTAACTCATTACTTAGGATAAGCTGTCAGCTATTAATCATGTTGCAGCCTTGACATGCCAAAGCCATATTGCCACAGCCTGCATAGGAGCTAGAGCCTTCTGACTGTAGAAGGGTCCAGAACGTAACTTCTGCTTGGCCCTAGAAACATAGGATTATTTTAATCCGGAGGGGAAAATCATTTAGGTTTGAAAAGGAGTACTAGATTATATCTTTGTGTTTACCTTTATGTGGGGCACTGTGGTCATAGTTACACATCATTTTAATAAGGAAAAGAAAAAAGACATAACTCATTTCTGTTAAAACCCTTTGACAGCTATCCTTCAGGAAATATTGCATAAATTGTAGAATGTATCATCAAATCATCAAGGCAGCAAAATGAACTGGAGGGTGAGGGTCCAAGAGAGAGAAGCAGCCACAATATGTTCATGCTGAACTGGGATAAGATGCTCTGAGGACCAGAATTCAGAAAAGAACAAGGTTCCCACCAATGCAAAATTTTTGTATTAGCTGAAAGCTCAAAATGTTGTCTTGCTTCTTGATTTTTCTGATTGTAAAATTCTGGATGGGTCATTGTGGTGAAGCCCCCTCTCTCTTCCCATGCCCCACCTCCACCAAGGCCTAAGCCCATGCTCAGCCTCCCTCAGGAGAATCAAACACCATGTCTCATTCTCACACCTAGCAGGTAATAAGATTCTGCAATCAGCACTCCCCTGAAAATTTCATTACCTTTTAACCATTTTGATTCTTAGTTTGCACACAGTAGGCACTAACATTTGTGGAAGGCAATTGAATTCAAGGGACAGATTATTTCCTTCCCAATGGACTTTGTTTTGTTCCCTTATGGAAGAGAGTTTTCTTGTGTGTTCGTAATGACATGAGCACTGCGTCATGAGCTGCCTGTCTCCCTATTGCTGGAAAATGGTCCTAATGTTTGAGTGCACAAAATGTCTCTCTCTTTTTTTTTTTCTAATCAAGAAGTTAAGGGATCTGCTGGCTTAGCAGGTGCCTCAATTTTGCATAATTAGTTGCTAAGAATTGTTTAGCAGAGGCTGATTAGTCTCAGCCAAAGGAAATTGAATTTTTTTTTCTTCAACAAAACACTGAACACAGCCATAGATCTCTGAAACCATAGTCATATCTGCTCTTCCGGAGAAGCCCAGACCCTGGGGATGGGAGAGGCAGGAGATGGAGAGACAAACATCAGTCTGGTTATATGTGGATACTGTTTGATGCCAGGCAACCATTGCAGGATACAAGAGTGTGAGGGGACCTGAGCCCCTTGGAGACGTGTTTCTTCCAGGTCCAAAATTTGTCTGTGATGCAGAGTAGAGTCTTCCTCTGTGGGCACCTGCTGTTTATTTTTCAAGTTTGTAAACACCAGCTTCACTTACAATATATACTCAAATTAAATGACCTGTGTTTGCCTTTCCTGTGTTTAGCACATGAGGACACTGGCCAAATTGAGGTATATGAGAGGGACAGATGGTTCGCCCCATTGTTCTTCCGTTTAAAGTGTATGCTTGACTAAACCCTTTCTGAGCCTCTGTCACCATGTCAATTGTCCCTGTTAATGGAGGGCATATTCCCTGGTGTCATGGGATGTCTCTGCAAAAGGACCCATGTTTTTCCTTGTTATTACCAATATTCAAGCCCCTCTGAAAGTGGGAGGCCATCGTATGTGACAGCGATTATCTAGCCGCTAAGATTTCATTAGAAAAGGCTGGCAGTCCTGATGCCCTGAGGTGCCCTTTATGGTTACTGGAAGCATTCATTTCAGGGAGCAGCAGCTCACTAGCTCTGTGTCTCCTTTGCTCCCACGGCAACTTGCAGGAAAGATCTACCATGGAAGTCAAGCCTGAGAGTTTTATATGAAAATCACAAATTATTCTGTTGAATTATATTAAAGGTTCTTTGAGAAATCTTTCTGTTATGATTTGGATAGGAGGTGTCCCCTGAAAACTCATGTATGAGACAATGCAGGAATGTTCAGAGGTAAAATGATTCGATTATTAGAAGTGCAACCTAATCAGTAAAGTGATTCATTTGATGGATTAATGATTTTTAATGGATTAATGGGTGGTAACTATAGGCAAGTGGGTGTGGCTGGAAGAAGTAGGTCACTGAGGGATGTGTTGATGGGGATTACAATATCCCTGCTTCCTTGCACTCAAGATTTCTCTGCTTCCTGGTTGTCATGAGCTGAGCTGCTTTCCTCTGTCACACCCTTCCAGCAGATGTTCTGCCTCACCTTGGGCCCAGAGCAATGGAGTCCAGACAACTATGGAGTGAACCTCTGAAACTGTGAACCAAAATCAACTTTTCATCCTCTAAGTTGTAATCAGACCTTCAGGTCTTTTGGTCACAGTGACGAAAGCTGACTAAAACACTTTCTATAATCAGAATAAAAATGAAAGGAAATATATTTTAATATTAGTTTTATTAAGAGTCACAGATTTTTAACCTACAGTAAGTCAATACTTAATAACTGTTGGGTGGTGATGTGACTTTATAAGGAATAGGTTATAAGACAAAATCATAGATGGGAGGAAGCATAGCTCACATATTTCAGGCTACTTGTTTATAATAAATGTTCTTGTTTGAAAATTAAATATAATTCATTCATCCACCAGCAAATATTTAATGAATGCTTACTATATGCCAGGTCCTATTTTTTTATACCTTTGCTTTATTTACTTAGTTTTTTTTTTTTTTTAATGTGGTGCTGAGGATCAAACCCAGTACCTCACATGTGCAAGGCAGGTGCTCTACCACTGAGCAACAACCCCAGCCCCTGTGACAGGTGCTATTCTAAACATGTTATCTATTCATTGATTCCTTTCCTTATTTGACCTAATTTTTTATTCATTCATATATCTGGATGGAACTCCAAATTCTAGTTGGTGCCTCCCTCATAAACAAAGAAAAAGTATTAACATCTATATTATAATTCGATGACTCTTAGTAAAGCCAATGCTGAAGAGCAATGAATTGAATTGGTATTTCTTTTAAATATTTATCTTTAAAAGAGTGAACTTGAGAGTATTAAGTATTATGCACTTTAGGCAGGAAGGGGAAAGGATATTTATTCACATGCATGAAGAATTGACTACAGTGGCACATTTCAAAGGTTTTGCCACAGGAATTACACCATGCAAGGTCTTGCTGGTATGACAGGTCTAGTCACTTCCTTGTGTGATACAGCAACATGTGAGCCAATGTCCTAAGAAACCACCTTTTCTCTCCAAGAGGAAATTAGATAAAGAAGAAAGAAGATGAGAATGAAGGTAGATAGTCTAGATTCACTTTAAATATGTGTCCTTCTTTAAACTTATCTCTCTGGGCCCCACACCTTACCACAAAATGAAAGAGTAGTTTAGATGGTCTCTTTATAAGTATATGACTTTAGTATGTATCTACAAATCCACTCAAGGACACATGGAAAGACCATGATAGAAACCTCCATAGCTTTCCATGATTCATGCAGAGGATTAAAAATACTCCCTGGACATTTCTCTCCTTTGGAATCCTATTATGGAGCCAAAAGCCATTGACTCATTCAGCATCCTACTCCATTTCTATTTGACTGGCTAAGATAATCAAAACCTGACTTTTAGTAAATCAATGAAAAGAGTGGAAATCCATTCTATGATGAACAACTTTTTATAAAAGGGCCATGTTGCCTTTTCTATGTTTAAAATAAAAAAAATAGGGGCTGGGAATGTGGCTCAAGCAGTAATGTGCTCACCTGGCATGCACAGGGCGCTGGGTTCCTCAGCACCACATAAAAATAAAAATGTTGTGTCCACCGAAAACCGAAAAATAAAAATATTAAAAAATTCTCTCTCTCTAACTAAATAAATATATGTGTGTGTGTGTGTGTGTGTGTGTGTGTGTGTGTGTGTGTGCCAAGTTCTCTGAAAACCAAGGGTTACCTTGCACCATGCTTCTCTGTTGCTATGGTCTCCTTAACTCTACTGAGAAATGCTGCAAGCTTCCCCCTCACACACACTTCCATTAAGAACTATTGCTTTCAACCTGGTTCACTTTGGCAAGCTACTCTTAGATAATATCGAACTTGCTTCATTCTGGTCTTTTGACCAAGACAACTTTTGGCTTCTAGATACTTATTTACTTTTGCCTGTGCTCAGGAAGGACACTGGATGCTGGGCCTGGAGGAGGGGTGGGGGATGGTGATGTAGATGCTGGCCAGGTGGCCATCTATAATTCAGTTTCAACCTTTTAAGGATGTGCATAACTAGACTATTTCAGCTCTAAATCAAGGAAATTGCTTTCAAATATAAATGAGAAAACCATTTTACCAGGGTTGACTACATCCGTAATGCAAGCTGGGTAAATTTCTAAAGGAATGTTTCCTTAAAATAAGAGCATCAAGTACAGATAATTTTAGAGTCTCACGGGCAAATCTCTTACTGCCCTTTAAGAAAATTCAACACTAGATTCAAACTAAGACTTTAATGGGCAGTAACCTTGACAAATTGAAAACTGAGGAAAGTCTTTAAATTTCTGAGATGCCACCTCTAAACCTGGTTGTTGTGATCTGTATCACTTTGCTCAGAGCTCTGTACTTTTAAAAACCACACACTTTCAAAGTTTTAGATAATGAAAGAAAATACATTTTTAAAGCAGTCTTATGAAGAATTAAGATTTTTACATAGAGTCTGTTTTTACAGGTGCTACATATTGCTTGGCTATTAAATCGACAACGTGAGAAAAAGCACTAAAATTCCCAGGTGTCAATGATGGGCAAAGGGAGACTTTGTAATCTAATGCTTAGGTTTTGTTCTGTGGTTTTTGATTATGCTCTAAATTGTGTTTGGAAAGAAAAGAGTCAGAGACCTGCCTAAGATGCTACTTTAAAAGCAACCGTGAGCTGGGTACAGTGGCACACACCTGTAATCCCAGCGGCTCAAGAGACTGAGACAGGAGTATCGCAAGTTCAAAGCCAGCCTCAGCAACTTATTGAGGCCCTAAGCAACTCAGCAAGACCCTGTTTCTAAATAAATTATAAAAATAGGGCTGGGGATGTGGCTCAGTGGTAAAGCGCCTCTGGGTTCAATCCCCAGTACCAAAAAAAAAAAAAAAAAAAAAAAGATCGTGAAGCAGTTAATTGCTTTAGTATCTGAAAGCTGGTAGGTTTTATGTGGTTGGAAGAATGTAAAGAATTGGGCAACAAATGGAATATAAACATGAAAGAGTGTGCCTGTCATTTTTTAAGTTAATTGCAGTTTACAGCAGTGTTAATCTTTATTTTTTGCCATTATTTCTAAAGACCTTGTTAGTTTTATGAAGAAATCATGAATCATTTCAACCAGAAGAACACCCTAGAGAGGAAATTAATTCCTCACCTTTGAAACACAAGCCACCTACCTGGGAGAATTCATTTTCTTAGATGATACAACTTTGTTTCTGGATTAAATATTCCTTGTGTTTAATAGTTTGTCATATGCAACACATTTTGTAAAATTCCTTAATGATTTCTTGTTTACACAACAACAAACATCACAGTGTGGCCAGGGTGGCACTTGGGTCATTTAGCTGGACTAAATATTCTAAGCAATTACTTTACATTATATTTACTAAGCCATATACATCCTATTCTTGAAACTGAAGATTTTTTACTCTGACATCTCTTTACTTGATATAAATGCCTCCACAGAAGCTAGGAAGAATCATTCCTTCCTATATTTTAACCCTAATATTTGCCATCCTAGATCACTCTTCTGTATTCCAAGTCAGAGCAAATCCTAAAACAATCACTGTACTTATAATTTTATCGACCCATTTCCTCTACGATCTTGTCACTTAGTGTATTAATCATTCAGCTTCTTGCCTAACTCCCACTACACTGAACTTCAGACCTTCTGTCTTTTCAGTTGCTCTTTTTATTGCTCTGCAGGTTGTTTTCATCTCTTTCTAAAAGAAGGCCAGTCAGCATATTGCAACGTCCGTCTTCTTCTTCCACACCATGGTTCTGCCCTGTTTCCAGACCGGCTTCTCTGGTCTCACCTCTGAATGACCCTATTCCTCTGCTTTACCCTGGTTGCCAATTCACTCTGCCAGGAATAACCTACTAACTCTTTCTTTATTCTCCTGCGATACTAATGCTCTGTCATCCGCTTATCTGAAATATTGCATTTCTTTTCATTTCCTTTGTTCTTCTACCTGATTTATTCTTAGTGCCCATTGAGCCATTTTATTCCTTCTTTGTCCTCCAGCCATACATATTCACTGATATTTATTTATCAATGAATGTAGGTGACAGGCAAATAATTTATATACCACATTTGCATTCTGACAATTTTTTAAATGTCTTCATGTGCATTTATAGCTTTTGAACCTCACAATCCTGTGGTAAATGAAAAATTTACCCTCTTTTACAGGGGAAGAAGCTGATGTCCAAGACATTTTTCAGAGCTTGTCCCACTGTTCACCCAAATTCAGGACTCAGGTCTATCAACTCTTTCTACTGTGCCTTGTCACCTCTCTCTGGCAGAAGGATTGCAATCCATGAAAGATCTTCACTGCGCCAGAAACCTGATGGAAATTAACCAAACCCTTCATTGTACCTTTGCAGATGAGAGTCCCTACACTAAATCCGCCAGCCAGACAAAGCCGCCTGATGGAGCATTGGCTGTGAGGAGACAGAGCATACCAGGTTAGACAAGACTATTGGATTTTTCAGCTGTTTTACCTACTTTTGAATCCTGTTATTTGGTGATCCTAAATAATTCTAACCTGGTACCAAAAAAAAAAAAAAATCATGTTATTTCATAGTGTGTAGACTCCATTCTACACAACTTGTTCAAACAGTAGTCAGAAGCTAGACTTTGGAAAAACTTGCCAACTTGTGAAAATCTATTTTATAATCCATCATAGCAAAAATCCTTTGTGAAATGACTTGAATTTATTTCGACTCTCACTCATTTACTCACTCTCACCTCTGTTTTCAGCCGGATGACTTTCACAGCAGCATCCATCTCTTTACTGAGACACCTGGCAGGAAAAGGGGGATGGAAAATGCAGTAGCAGATCATGCATGCTGAATAAAACAGTCACTCCTTTCTTCTCATCTCTTTGAACCTGAATTTGCTTCCCCTGAGCAGCTCTTGTAAAATTCTGGGACTTTGCTTTCCCAGGAAGGTGTGATTAAGATTCTTCTAATGCCGTGAGAGTCGCCTGTGTTTTTCCAGCACAACAATGTCTCTAGCCTATAACTTCAGTGTTTTTGAAGCTTTGATTTTTAAAAAAAAATGACACAAAAGCATGCAAGTTCTCAAAAGGGAAAGGAAATTCAAAATATTATTCAAACTTTATCTCTACTGGATAATTCATGGAAAACCCCCTTAGAAAAGCAACTGTGTACTTAAGAGCAGAGTTTAAAGCATTAATACATCTAAATATGTATCAAAAATAATGCATTTGTGCATTTGATGTAAACAAATTGAGTACAGCTAAACCTCAGCTCTAGGATTTTCAAGTAGCAGTGTTTCCTGCATTAAGTTGAATGGGCCTACAAATCTGTCAATGAAAAGGAGATATTTCCATTTGAATAAAAAGCAGGATGGGCCCACTTTCTGAGCAACTTTGTTCATGATTATTATTTAGTTTTATAATTTTTAGATGTGGTTATTTTACTCTGATTCTGAAGGCTTAGATTTATTATGAAAGTACATGGCTTATAAGGAGACACGAATATGTTATAGATCCTTGTTGCTTTGAAGATTCTAAAGCAATTTGAATTCTGTAATTAGATGGCATCACCCAGTGAGATTTCTTCTATTTCTTCCTATAAAATAGCATTCTTAGTGCTGGTCACGTTTAGGAAAAAAAAAAAAAGAAGAAGAAAAAAAAAAAAAACTATTGCAGTCAGCTATGGGCTCTGTTCTCTGCTTTCTCCTTGTCAGCAGTAAGATAGTATTCAGCATTTGAAGGTCAGGAATGTCAGTTTTCTATCAATTCCTTCCTGTATTCATCTGGTGGGCAGACACAAGAGACTTTTCCCACCGTCCTTACTACTTTAGGTGATATTAAACAGACCCACCAAATATTATTAATGTTTTCCTTTTAAAGGTTTTCTAGTGTTACATACTAAATTGTAACACATGTTTTGAGAGGTGTACTTTGTCTTAAAATCAATTAGTAGTCTTCCAACTTACATGTTAGACAAACTGGTTGATCATAACTTTTAATTTATAACCTGCCAGTGATTCTTCGTTATAGGATTTTATCTTTTATTCCTCTATGTGTCAGATTTAAAAGTCACTGTAATCATAAACATTTTTGTAAGCTTCATAGGTTATTCTCATGGAGTTCAGCCAAGGAAAAAGACCCTTTTTGTCCGTCACTTGTCACGAAGAAGCCAAAGGGGTCAGGAGTCTTCAAAATCTTCTCAGTTGTTTAAAACAGCACCCCCACCTCCACCACCAAAGACCTCATCAGCCAAAAAGCTAAGAAACTAAAGTGGTTAATAGCTGATCATACTCACTATTATCTGAAGGGAAAAAAAATAATGAACTTCTTGAAAACTGCTTCATGACTGACTAAAGACTCTTGGAATTCTAATCCTTAGTTTGCTGTCTTACTTTAAAGTACCTATAAAGTCTTGCTCTGGCCAAAAGCTAGGAGAGTGAAGAAATGCACAGAGGGGAAAGCCAGGTAAACGCATACTCAAAGACTTGCTGGAGCTTTGGTGAACAATTCTAAAGTGGTCAGATAGCCTACGTTGGACCACATAGAGCTGGAAGAGCTAGATAAGAGTTTACAGCTTTTCTTTCTCCTGCTCAGCTCCCAGTCTTACGTCCCTCAAGGGGTTATTGCCACCCTGGGAGCAAGGGAAGATGCATTTAGAGAAAAGTCAACCAAGGAAAAGAAAGCCTAAAGGTGACCGTGGCTCATCTACCAGCCCCTGGTCTTCTCAGTGCAGAGGTATCTCTCCTGAGGCAGATACAGCCCCAGGGCCATTTAACTCCCCTAGCTACTGGGAAGTAAGCCAACCCAGGAGGCCAATACCTCCGAGGAGCATGGCTTTATCCCATGACTCCCCCAGAGCTCCTCTCCCAGTGATTCAGTGTTGGTGGTTGAATTTTCTATTCCTATTAGCACTTCCATTGATAAATGGGGTGGGGGTATGATGGAGGAAGAGTACACAGTAGCAGAAGGGATCCTAAGCCTGTATGTCCAAGTTGTGTGGCAGTTCAGCTGTTATTTTAAATTCACTCTATAAAGGTAGATCCGGTGCTTCCCAGAAGAAATGTTCATATGTGTGTTTATATATAAAATAAATGTTTATATATTTCTTAACACAGGCTCCACTATTTTCATGGCATAATAGGCAGTAACTTTTAACGATGCCAGATAGGTAACCTTGAATTTTAACAGAAGGATAATTTGCTTTTCATTCATATCAAACTTCAGTACCACTCTCCAAATTCAAAATTACCACCACAATTATTTTATAATCACAAGTCAAATATGTATCTTTCATTAAATGCCAGTTCTAATTGTAAATCCTTTCATCTCCCTCCTTTTCTCTTCCCAAAAAAAAGGGAATGAATTAAACATCTTTTAGGAGCAAAATACATTTGCTTTGGATAAAGGGGAAATGCATTATTAATGTTATTTGGGAATTTGTCATTTTAATCATGTCTCTTATGGCAAAATATGTAAAAATAAAAAGATGTATTAGTCTTTCATAAGCTTTTGTAACATTTTTAACAATTATAGTTAAAAAAATGACATGAGTTTCCCTATGATGCTAAGGTTCTAACTTAAATTGGAAACAACATTCTGTTTAAAATGTAAAGGAAGTTTATTTGCACTCTTATTTCGGCCCCTTTTTTGAACAGTATGATGAATTCCAATGATATTTTGAACAGATTTTATGGCAGATCTATCTACATTAAAAGGAATCTGTTGTTCTGATATTTCTTAATTTGACAAATTACTGGTGAGTTGAAGCGCGACTATGTAAGGGTGTGTCCAAATTATTAGAAGAAATTTGTACAGACTCTGGATTTGACAGATTTTTTAAAAATAATTTCTGATTTTACCCCCTTACAGATGAGGTCTCTAGCTGAGTGTGGTGGCACACGCTTGTAATCCCAGCAGCTTGGGAGGCTGAGGCAGGAGGATCACGAGTTCAAAGCCAGCCTCAGCAAAAGCGAGGTACTAAGAAACTCAGTGAGACCCTGTCTCTAAATAAAATACAAAAAAAACAGGGCTGGGGATGTGGCTCAGTGGTCAAGTGTCCCTGAGTTCAATCCCTGGTACCCAAAGGAAAAAAAATGATGATGTATTTAATCATGTTTGTCTAGTCTTTGTAAACAGAAAAGACAAGATACTACCCAAAGCTTAGAGTCAGGATATTATTTGACTTGCCTCCTCTTTCTACATAGGATATCTTTCTTTGATTGCTAGTCTTGAAAAATAATCCTAAATCCATTGACAAATACAGGGTGATATCGATCACTTGTATCTATCACATTTCCAAAGTTAGATGCACCTAGGAAAAGTATCTTAAATCTGCATCCAAACTGAGATCATAAACATTTACACAGGATTTTTTCCTCTTCTTAAAATATTATAAAAGATATTTATTAATTTGATCATGATAGAATGACATTGATATTAGTCTTTCTTAGCTGTCACATTAGGTACTTGGGGATAAGTGAAAATATGGAGCTGAGTTTTAAATGCCCAGAAACCCAAAATATATACAGTCAAGTTGTTTAGAATGCATCCAGAAAGGGTCAACACCTATTAAAAAATGCAAGTCTGGAAAATTATACCACACTCTTGACATCACACAAATTAAAAGAGTAGACAAGAATTTTGAAGGTTCTGCCCTCTCTGTTCAGCCTTTTCCTATCTTTGTTATGCACACAATTTGATGCTTCATCAGTCTAAATTCTCATTATTATAGCATATCTCTAGTGTGACTTTTAGACTAGGATTTTATAGCTAGATCCCTGTCCAGGTATATGAAGGACATTCACTCTAAATTTTGTGCCCAGTTCTACTTCATCTATTTAGTTCTACCATTGATCCTAAGAAATGAATGAGTCTCACGGATGGGAGTCCAAAGTCTATTGAACCCACCAAATATGAAATATCATACAAAAAAATGGAGCTATAGATGCTGTCCAAAGTCACCAAGTCAAGGCTGTGCTGTTAGTGAGACATGACCAGCATCAGGAAATACCAAGCAACCAAGCATCTTTGCCATGCTGTCAAGCTTCCCTGCATCCTCATAAGCATCCAGGGGTAAGAGGAGCATAAATATGCACTTACCAAAGCCCCTCACTGACAACATGATAAAACTTCAAAATAAAATTAGGATATTTGAAAAATTAGCTAAATTATCTCACTTCTTTAGAGAAGGGTTTCTAAGATCAGAAAGTCACAACTATAGGGGACACTGTGTATATGCCTGTGACTCTGCCCCTCCCCAACTTTTCTATATGACTCCTCACTGTCTAAAATTAACTGATAAACATATTCTCATTATCTCTCTTAGTCCATAGGTAAAACATAAGCTCCATGCAGGCAAGTATTGTAAACGTCTTCTTCACTACTATATCTGTAGTGCATAGAACAGTGCTTAGCAGATGTTAGGTGTTCAACCAGTACTTGTGGAATGAATGAATGAATGAATGA